CATCAGCCCCACCAAAACTAAGCACCTGCCTGGGTATTTTGTACCATCGGACACTCCACCCCCACAACTCCCAATCGGTGATGGGGCAGTTGTGGAGAGAGTGGAGAGTTTCCCATACCTGGGTAGTGTGCTTATGACTGGCTCCAGTTTAACAGCAGAGGTCTCACTCCGAATCAGTCGAGCGGCAATACCTTTTCATCGGTTGCGTAACGCTGTGCGAAAGCTACCTGGTCTGTCGCTCCGCACTAAGCTTCAGGTCTTCTCGGCCACGGTCATTCCCTCCCTTCTCTACGCTTGCGAAACGTGGACCCCCCTAATGGAACATCTTCGCCGGTTAGAAACATTTAGGCTGGCCTGCCTACGATCCATCCTGGGTTTAACCAGACTGGATTGTGTGAGGAGCTCACAAATCCTTGAAAGATCTGGGCAAGGTCCCATCGGTGAGCTCCTCCGGCGGGCAAGGCTGTGATGGCTGGGTCATGTAGCCCGCTTGCCCAGCCAACGCATGCCGAAACAGCTTTTGTTCGGCCGGATTGAGGGGGCTAAGCGGGCGCAGCACGGGCTAGAGAAGAGATGGAGTGATGTTGTACAGGAGGACGTGGAGCTGAGTGGACTTGCCGATGACTGGTACCAGCGGTGTCAAGATCGACCTCTGTGGAAGAGGCTCGTGAAGGACGCTACTGGGCAGTTGGAGGTAGTCGCCCTCCAACAACAACGGAGGGCGGAGGAGCGACGCTCACAACAACGAGCGGAGTGCCGGGTGGCTAAAGCACAGCAGGTTGGCACAGTAGGGGGCACAGGTGGTGCATCAGCCAGTCATCTCAGTCAGTCGACCCGTGGCACCTGGGTCTGCCCCGTGACCTCCTGCCAGCGGGCGTTCGACACTTCACGTGGCCTCAGGGTGCACATGGCCTGGCACAAGCGTCGTGGTGATGTCACCGCCACTTAGTGGCGAATGGCGGTTGTTGTTGTTGTTTTGTGTGTCTCAGTGTGTCTCAGTGTCTCAATGTGTCTCAGTGTCTCAGCGTGTCTGTGTCCCAGTGTGTCTCAGTGTGTCTGTGTGACTCATAGAGACGCAGAGAGACGCACAGAGACTCATAAAGACCCACTGAGAGCCACAGAGATTCATAGAGACCCACAGAGACCCACAGAGACTCATAGAAATCCACAGAAACCCACAGAGACCCACAAAGACTAATAGAGACCCACAGAGACCCACAGAGACTCATAGAAACCCACATAGACCCACAGAGACTTAAATAGACTCATAGAGACCCACAGAGACCCACATAGACTCATAGAGACCCACAGAGACCCACAGAGACTCATAGAGACCCACAGAGACTCATAGAGACGCAGAGAGACTCATAGACACCCACAGAGACCCACAGAGACTCATAGAGACCCACAGAGACCCACAGAGACTCATAGAAACCCACATAGACCCACAGAGACTTATAGAGACTCATAGAGACCCACAGAGACCCACAGAGACTCATAGAGACCCACAGAGACTCATAGAGACCCACAGAGACCCACAGAGACTCATAGAGACCCACAGAGACCCACAGAGATTCATAGACCCACAGAGACCCACAGAGACCCACAGAGCCCAATCGAGACCCACAGTGACTCATAGAGACCCACAGAGACCCACAGAGACTCATAGAGACCCACAGAGACCCACAGAGATTCATAGACCCACAGAGACCCACAGAGACCCACAGAGCCCAATCGAGACCCACAGTGACTCATAGAGACCCACAGAGACCCTCAGAGACTCATAAAGACCCACAGAGACCCACAGAGAATCATAGAAACTCATAGAGACCCACAGAGACACACAGAGACTTATAGAGACCCACAGAGACCCACAGAGACTCATGAAACCCGCATAGACGCACAGAGACTTATAGAGACCCACAGAGACCCACAGAGACTCATAGAGACACACAGAGACCCATAAAGACTCATAGAGACCCATAGAGACTCATATAAACCCACAGACGCACAGAGACCCAGAGAGACTCACAGAGACTCACAGAGACTTGTAGAGACTCATAGAGACCCACATAGACCCACAGAGACTCATAGAGACCCACAGAGACCCACAGAGACTCATAGAGACCCACAGAGACCCACAGAGACTCATAGAGACCCACAGAGACTCATAGAGACCCACAGAGACACACAGAGACCCAGAGAGACTCATAGAGACCCACAGAGACTCAAAGAGATCCAGAGAGACTCATAGCCACGCACAGACACCCACAGAGACTCATAGACACCCACAGAGACCCACAGACACTTATAGAGACCTACAGAGAACCACAGAGACCCACAGACACCCACAGAGACTCATAGACACCCACATAGAACCAAAGATACATATAGAGTCTCATAGAGACCCACATAGACCCACAGAGACTTATAGAGACCCACAGAGACCCACAGAGACACACCGATACCCACAGAGACTCATAGAAACCCGCATAGACCGACAGATACTTATAGAGACCCACAGAGACCCACAGAGACTGACAGAGACCCACAGAGACTCACAGAGACACACAGAGACTCACACAGAGACCCATAGAGACCCATAGAGACACAGAGAGACCCATAGAGACTCACAGAGACCCATAGAGACCGACAGAGACCCACAGAGACCCATAGAGACCCACAGAGACCTACAGAGACTCAGAGACCCACAGAGACCAACAGAGACTCATAGAAACCCACGTAGATACACAGAGACTTATAGAGACCCACAGAAACCCACAGAATCCCACAGAGGGTCAGAGGGACTCACAGAGACCCACAGAGACCCACAGAGACTCATAGACACCCACATAGACCCAAAGAGACATATAGAGACTCATAGAGACCCACATAGACCGACAGAGACTTATAGAGACCCACAGAGACCTACAGAGACTCATAGAGACACACAGAGACCCCACAAAGACTCATAGACACCCATAGCGAAGAGTCAACATCTCTCAGGCTAATCTAACCCACGACTTCCTGTAGACCAGGCGAGGTAGTTAACATCTCTCAGGGTAATCGAAACCCACGACCTCCTGTATACCAGGTGAGGTAGTCAACATCTCTCAGTGTAATCGAACCCACGACCTCCTGTAGACCAGGCGAGGTAGTCAACATCTCTCAGGGTAATCGAACCCACGACCTCCTGTATGCCAGGCGAGGTAGTCAACATCTCTCAGGGTAATCGAACCCACGACTTCCTGTAGACCAGGCGAGGTAGTCAACATCTCTCAGGGTAATCGAACCCACGACCTCCTGCATACCGGGCCGAGGTAGTCAACGTCTCTCAGGTTAATCGAACTCACGACCTCCTGTAGACCAGGCGAGGTAGCCAACATCTCTCAGGGCAATCGAACCCACGACCTCCTGTAGACCAGGCAAGGTAGTCAACATCTCTCAGGCTAACCGAACCCACGGGACCTCCTGTATACCAGGCGAGGTAGTCAACATCTCTCAGGCTAATCGAACCACGGGACCTCCTGTAGACCAGGCGAGGTAATCAACATCTCTCAGGGTAATCGAACCCACGGGACCTCCTTTAGACCAGCGGGGTAGTCAACATCTCTCAGGGTAATCGAACCCACGACCTCCTGTAGACCAGGCGAGGTAGTCAACATCTCTCAGGGTGATTGAACCCATGACCTCCTGTATACCAAGCGAGGTAGTAAACATCTCTCAGGGTATTCGAACCCACGGGACCTCCTGTAGACCAGGCGAGGTAGTCAACATCTCTCAGGGTAATCGAACCACGACCTCCTGTATACCAGGCGAGGTATTCAACATCTCTCCGGGTAATCGAACCCACGGGACCTCCTGTAGACCAGGCGAGGTAGTCATACATCTCTCAGGGTAATCGAACCCACGACCTCCTGTATACCAGGCGAGGTAGTCAACATCTCTCAGGGTAATCGAACCCACGGGACCTCCTGTATACCAGGCGAGGTAGTCAACATCTCTCAGGGTAATCGAACTCACGACCTCCTGTACACCAGGCGAGGTAGTCAACATCTCTCAGTGTAATCGAACCCACGATCTCCTGTATACCAGGCGAGGTAGTCAACATCTCTCAGGGTAAATCGAACCCACGACCTCCTGTATACCAGGCGATGTAGTCAACATCTCTCAGGCTAATCGAACCCACGGGACCTCCTGTAGGCCAGGCGAGGTAGTCAACATCTCTCAGGGTAATCGAACCCACGGGACTTCCTGTATACCAGGCGAGGTAGTCAACATCTCTCAGGCTAATCGAACCCACGGGACCTCCTGTAGACCAGGCGAGGTAGTCAACATCTCTCAGGGTAATCGAACACACGGGACCTCCTGTATACCAGGCGAGGGAGTCAACATCTCTCAGGCTAATCGAACCCACGACTTCCTGTATACCAAGCGAGGTAGTCAACATCTCTCAGGGTAATTGAACCCACGGGACCTCCTTTAGACCAGGCGGGGTAGTCAACATCTCTCAGGGTAATCGAACCCACGACCTCCTGTAGACCAGGCGAGGTAGTCAACATCTCTCAGGGTGATTGAACCCACGACCTCCTGTAGACCAGGCGAGGTAGTCAACATCTCTCAGGTTAATCGAACTCACGACCTCCTGTATACCAGGCGAGGTAGTCAACATCTCTCAGGCTAATCGAACCCACGGGACCTCCTGTATACCAGGCGAGGTAGTCAACATCTCTCAGGCTAATCGAACCCACGGGACCTATTGTGCATCAGGCGAGGTAGTTAACATCTCTCAGGGTAATCGAACCCACGACCTCCTGTAGACCAGGCGAGGTAGTCAACATCTCTCAGGCTAATCGAACCCACGACCTCCTGTAGACCAGGCGAGGTAGTCAACATCTCTCAGGGTAATCGAACCCACGGGACCTCCTGTATACCAGGCGAGGTAGTCAACATCTCTCAGGGTAATCGAACCCACGGGACTTCCTGTATACCAGGCGAGGGAGTCAACTTCTCCCCCAAACCACGTTGGGGTCCACGCAACGTTTTTTTTTTTATAATTCCGTGACGAAACTTTTTGGTTAAGGAGGGGTGGGGTTTTGGGTGTTGGTTGTTGTTGTTGTTGGATTGTTGTTGTTGGGTTGTTGGGTGTTGGTTGTGGCTCTCATCGCTTGCGGTTCTCACATCCACGGTCACTTCGCTTCTGTAGGCTCGGGCCGTGAGTCGGCTCCGCCTGAAGACGGTGGCGTGCCGAGCGACCGGAACGTCGCCATCGGCTGTAGGTTACTCCGTACGCGTCTTCATCAAAAGCACCGAAGGGTTAGGTGGGTCTTCGAGTCTTAGAGTTGTTACACGCCGTCATCATCAGCATCATCATCGTCGTCGTAGTCGTCGTCATCATTATCACCATCATCGTCATCACCATCATCATCATCATTGTCATCATCATCGTCGTCATCATCATCATCACCATCATCGTCATCACCATCATCATCGTCATCATCACCACCACCATCACCACCACCATCGTCACTACCACCGCCATCATCACCACCACCACCAACATCATTACCACCACCATCACCACCACCGCCACCATCACCCTCACCATCACCATCATCACCATCACCACCACCATCACCGCCACCATCACCCTCACCATCACCATCATCACCATCACCACCATCACCACCATCACCATCACCACCACCGCCACCATCACCACCATCACCATCATCACCATCACCACCACCATCACCATCACCACCAACACCATCACCATCACCACCACCACCATCACCACCATCATCACCACCATCACCACCACCACCACCATCACCACCACCACCACCACCATCATCATCATCACCACCACCACCATCACCACCATCACCACCACCATCACCACCAGCACCACCACCATCACCACCATCATCATCATCACCACCACCATCACCACCAGCATCACCACCATCACCACTACCACCATCATCACCATCACCATCATCACCACCACCACCACCATCACCACCACCATCATCACCACCACCATCATCACCATCACCACCATCATCACCATCACCACTATCACCACCACCACCATCACCACCACCATCACCACCATCATCACCATCACCATCATCACCATCACCACCATCACCACCACCACCATCACCACCACCATCATCACCACCATCACCACCATCACCACCACCATCACCACCACCATCACCACCATCACCACCACCACCATCACCACCACCATCACCATCATCACCACCACCATCATCACCATCACCACCACCATCATCACCATCACCATCACCACCACCATCACCACCATCACCACCACCATCACCACCATCACCACTACCATCACCACCACCATCACCACCACAACCATCACCACCACCACCACCATCACCACCATCACCACCACCATCACCACCACCATCATCACCACCACCATCACCACCACCATCACCACCATCACCACCACCATCACCACCATCATCACCATCACCACTACCATCACCACCACAACCATCACCACCACCATCACCACCACCATCATCACCATCACCACCACCATCACCACCACCATCACCACTACCATCACCACCACCATCACCACTACCATCACCACCACCATCACCACCACTACCATCACCATCACCACTACCATCATCACCATCACCACCACCATCACCACCATCACCACCACCACCATCACCACCACCATCACCACCATCCACATCCTCCTCCACCTCCTCCCTTCTAACCCCGGTAACAAAGTTTTACGAATATTAAAAATATATTCTTTGGTTCTTTCGTTAAAGTCACGAAGATAGACGATAAAATAATAATGAAAAATGAATTAAATTGAAATTAAAAACCCAAAACTCACTTAAATTTGAAAATTTAAAATTTGTATTTTATTGTTATTATTTACTTGTTATTATTTATTTATTGTATTTGTATTGTATTTTTTAAATTATATTTCTATTGTATATTTATTGTATTTTTATTACATTTTTATCGTACTTTTATTGTATTTGTATTATATTTTTTATTGTATTTTTATTATATTTGCATTGTATTTCAATTGTATTTGTATCGTCTTTTTATTGTATTTTATTGTATTATTGTATTTTTATTGTATTTTTATTATATTTGTATCGTCTTTTTACCGTCTTTTTATTGTATTATTGTGTTTCTATTGTATTTTTATTGTCTTTTTATTGTATTATTGTATTTCTATTGTATTTTTATTGTATTATTGTATTTCTATTATATTTTTATTGTATTTGTATTGTATTTCTATAGTATTGTTATAGTTTTTTTTATTGTATTTCTATTATATTTCTATTGTATTTGTATTGTATTTTTATTGTATTTCTATAGTATTTTTATTGTATTTGTATTGTATTTCTATAGTATTTTTATTGAATTTTTATTATATTTTTATTGTATTTGTATAGTATTTCTATAGTATTTTTATTGTATTTTTCTATTTCCGTGACTCCACCGAAAAAAAACACCGACTTTGACTTCCTGCATGCGCGAAAGTTTAAAGCAAAAAAAAATTAACGTAAATTTTTTTTCTTTCCCGAACCGCGACTTTCACGGTGCGTGTGGGCGCGAGGAGTTGTTGGTGATGATTGTAATCATGTTGATTGTAATCATGTTGATTGTAATCATGTTGATTGTAAACGAACGTTAATCATGACGAACATGCGCCGACTCTGAAAGTTATTGCCTCCGAGAAATACACAAATAGTGTAGTGTATAGTGTAGTGTATAGTGTGTAGTGTATAGGGTAGTGTAGTGTATAGTGTAGTGTATAGTGTAGTGTATAGTGTAGTGTATAGTGTAGTGTATAGTGTAGTGTAGTGTATAGTGTAGTGTATAGTGTAGTGTAGTGTATAGTGTAGTGTATAGTGTAGTGTATAGTGTAGTGTATAATGTAGTGTGTAGTGTAGTGTATAGTGTAGTGTATAATGTAGTGTATAATGTAGTGTGTAGTGTAGTGTATAGTGTAGTGTATAGTGTGTAGTGTATAGTGTAGTGTATAGTGTAGTGTAGTGTATAGTGTGTAGTGTATAGTGTAGTGTAGATAGTGTAGTGTATAGTGTAGTGTATAGTGTAGCGTATAGTGTAGTGTATAGTGTAGTGTGTAGTGTAGTGTATAGTGTGTAGTGTATAGTGTAGTGTGTAGTGTAGTGTGTAGTGTAGTGTATAGTGTAGTGTAGTGTGTAGTGTATAGTGTAGTGTATAGTGCAGTGTATAGTGTAGTGTATAGTGTATGGTGTAGTGTAGTGTATAGTGTAGTGTGTAGTGTAGTGTATAGTGTAGTGTGTAGTGTATAGTGTAGTGTATAGTGTAGTGTAGTGTGTAGTAGTGTATAGTGTAGTGTGTAGTGTATAGTGTAGTGTATAGTGTAGTGTATAGTAGTGTAGTGTATAGTGTAGTGTATAGTGTAGTGTATAGTGTAGTGTGTAGTGTAGTGTGTAGTGTAGTGTATAGTGAAGTGTAGTGTATAGTGTAGTGTAAAGTGTAGTGTATAGTGTAGTGTATAGTGTATAGTGTAGTGTATAGTGTATAGTGTAGTGTAAAGTGTAGTGTATAGTGTAGTGTATAGTGTATAGTGTAGTGTATAGTGTATAGTGTAGTGTATAGTGTAGTGTATATTGTATAGGGTAGTGTGTAGTGTATAGTGTAGTGTATAGTGTAGTGTATAGTGTATAGTGTAGTGTATAGTGTAGTGTATAGAGTAGTGTATAGTGTAGTGTAGTGTATAGTGTAGTGTATAGTGTAGTGTAATAGTGTAGTGTAGTGTATAGTGTAGTGTATAGTGTAGTGTATAGTATAGTGTATAGTGTAGTGTATAGTGTAGTGTATAGTGTAGTGTGTAGTGTAGTGTGTAGTGTAGTGTATAGTGTAGTGTATAGTGTAGTGTATATTGTAGTGTATAGTGTAGTGTGTAGTGTAGTGTAGAGTGTAGTGTATAGTGTAGTGTAGTGTGTATAGTGTAGTGTATAGGGTAGTGTAGTGTGTAGTGTAGTGTATAGTGTAGTGTAGCGTGTAGTGTATAGTGTAGTGTAGTGTGTATAGTGTAGTGTATAGGGTAGTGTAGTGTATAGTGTAGTGTAGAGTGTAGTGTATAGTGTAGTGTATAGTGTAGTGTGTAGTGTAGTGTGTAGTGTAGTGTATAGTGTAGTGTAGAGTGTAGTGTATAGTGTATTGTAGATAGTGTAGTGTATAGTGTAGTGTATAGTGTAGTGTATAGTGTAGTGTATAGTGTAGTGTATAGTGTAGTGTATAGTATAGTGTAGTTTCGATTTAAAGCTTTCGTGACTGCAATGATTCATCTTCTTTGGTTCTTTCGGTAAAGTCACGTAGAATGAGAATAAAATAATAAATTGATAAAATAACATAACACAATAATAGTCTCACGACGTTTCGGCCACAACACAAGCGGCCTTCATCAGGTGAAGGGACGAGACTGTCTGGTAGGACAGCGCTGGAGTGAAAGAGCCACGTTCAGATCACGACCTTTAAGCTCTGTGATATATAACGACTTATTGTTGGTAGCTTAGCTGATTGGAGAATATAGAGTTTATTGATAACATTAAGGTAATTTATATTTTAGTTTTTTATTGGTTCACTATATAGTACTGTGAATAGCTCAGATGTGTAGGCCTTGACTTCAACATAGTCATTTCTGTGACCAGTCACTAGCTAATCACTCAGTTATTTCAATGCTAAATTCGCCTAGTTATTTCAATGCTAAATTCTCCTGTTTGATTTGTACTAAGTGCCTCGGTGAATGTGTATGCTCTGACTTTAACGTAGCTATTTCTGTGACCAGTTACAAGCTAATTACTCAGCTATTTCAATGCTAAATTCTATGCTAATTCCTTTGTCAAGGGGTGCCTCTGCGGATGTGTATGCTTTAACTTAGCTATTTCAATGCTAAATTCTATGCTAATTCCTTTATCAAGGGGTGCCTCTGCGGATGTGTATGCTTTAACTTTAACATAGCCATTTCTGTGACCAGTCACAAGCTAATCACTCAGCCATTTCAATGCTAAATTTTATGCTAATTCCTTTGTCAAGGCGCTTTGTTCCTCTCACACAGCTTAAAGGTCGTGATCTGAACGTGGCTCTTTCACTCCAGCGCTGTCCTACCAGACAGTCTCGTCCCTTCACCTGATGAAGGCCGCTTGTGTTGTGGCCGAAACGTCGTGAGAATATTAATGTGTTATTTTATTTTATCAATTTATTATTTTATTCTCATTCTACGTGACTTTACCGAGAGAACCAAAGAAGTATAGTGTAGTGTATAGTGTAGTGTATAGTGTAGTGTATAGTGTAGTGTATAGTCTAGTGTAGTGTGTAGTGTATAGTGTAGTGTATAGTGTAGTGTATAGTGTAGTGTGTAGTGTAGTGTATAGTGTGGTGTATAGTGTAGTGTATAGTGTAGTGTATAGTGTAGTGTATAGTGTAGTGTATAGTGTAGTGTATAGTGTAGTGTAGTGTGTAGTGTATAGTGTAGTGCATAGTGTAGTGTAGTGTATAGTGTAGTGTGTAGTGTATAGTGTAGTGTATAGTGTAGTGAAAGTGTAGTGTATAGTGTAGTGTGTAGTGTGTAGTGTATAGTGTAGTGTATAGTGTAGTGTAGTGTGTAGTGTATAGTGTAGTGCATAGTGTAGTGTAGAGTGTAGTGTATAGTGTAGTGTATAGTGTAGTGTAGTGTATAGTATAGTGTGTAGTGTAGTCTGTAGTGTATAGTGTATAGTGTAGTGTATGGTGTAGTGTAGTGTATAGTGTAGTGTATAGTGTAGTGTGTAGTGAAGTGCAGAGTGTAGTGTGTAGTGTATAGTGTAGTGTATAGTGTAGTGTATCGTGTAGTGTAGTGTAGTGTATTGTAGTGTATAGTGTAGTGTATAGTGTAGTGTATAGTGTGTAGTGTATAGTGTAGTAGTGTATAGTGTAGTGTAGTTTATAGTGTAGTGTATAGTGTCGTAATGTATAGTGTAGTGTTGTGTATAGTGTAGTGTATAGTGTAGTATATAGTGTAGTGTGTAGTAGTGTGTAGTGTCTAGTGTATAGTATAGTGTAGTGTATAGTGTAGTGTATAATGTAGTATATAGTGTAGTGTGTTGTAGTGTGTAGTAGTGTATAGTGTAGTGTATAGTGTAGTGTAAAGTGTAGTGTATAGTGTAGTGTATAGTGTAGTGTGTAGTGTAGTGTATAGTGTAGTGTGTAGTAGTGTATAGTGTAGTGTATAGTGTAGTAGTGTATAGTGTAGTGTAGTGTGTAGTGTAGTGTGTAGTGTAGTGTACAGTGTAGTGTATAGTGTAGTGTATAGTGTAGTGTATAGTATAGTGTAGTGTATAGTGTATAGTGTAGTGTATAGTGTAGTGTATAGTAGTGTAGTGTATAGTGTAGTGTAGTGTGTAGTGTATAGTGTAGTGTATAGTGTGTAGTGTAGTGTATAGTGTAGTGTATAGTGTGGTGTATAGTGTAGTGTATAGTGTGTAGTAGTGTATAGTGTAGTGTATAGTGTAGTGTATAGTGTATAGTAGTGTATAGTGTAGTGCATAGTGTATAGTGTAGTGTATAGTGTAGTGTATAGTGTAATGCAGTGTGTAGTGTAGTGTATAGTGTAGTGTATAGTGTATAGTAGTGTATAGTGTAGTGCATAGTGTATAGTGTAGTGTATAGTGTAGTGTATAGTGTGTAGTGTATAGTGTAGTAGTGTATAGTGTAGTGTATAGTGTAGTGTACAGCATAGTGTATAATAGTGCAGTGCATCAATGTCTCTGTGCATCACTGCTCCACCCGTAAACCCCCAACACCCTCCGCCACTGCAGCTCACCCCCGCCACCTCCACCGCCTCTCCGACGTCCGCGATGTCCTCGCCGACGACCTCCGCCCGGCGCCGCCCCTCCGGCCCTCCACCACCACCACCACCACCACCACCGGCACCGGCACCGGCACCACCGCCGCTGCTTCTTCTGCTGCTCCTGACGGCCTCCGCGATGCCCGCGGCTGCCCGGCCATCGGACGGCGGCCTCCCCGCCGGCTGCTCCCGCCTCGCATCCGACCGCAGCGCCGTCGAATGCTCGAGGGCCTTCTCCGGCGACTCCGGCTTCAGCGACGACGAGCCCGCCGCCCTCATCGGGAAGATCTCCTTCGCGGACGCGGGCCTCGAACGCCTCGCCGACGGCGCCTTCGACGCCCTCCGGGAGCTGGGCGCCGTCGATCTCGGGGGCCCGGCGGCCAACCGCTGGCGGTGCGACTGCGGCGTCTGGTACCTGCGCTCGTGGCTCGCCAAGCAGGCCGACCAGGGCCCTGGGCCGGGGGAGCGGTGCGCGTGGCCGCCGCGGCTGAGGGGCCGCGTGGTGGCCCTGCTGTCGACGGAGGAGGCCCTGCGCGGCTGCCTGCCGGCGTGCCCGGGCGCGCTGGCGTCCCATGCGGGCCTCTACCTGTCCGCGGCCGCCCACGGGGCCCTCGTGCTGACGCTGGTCTACCTGGTGCACAAGCTGCGGAGACAGGTGCGGCAGGTGAGGAAGGGGGAAGGGGGGCGCGTGTACGTGTGTACGTGCGTGTGTGTGTACGTGTGTGTGTGTGTGTGTACGTACGTGTGTGTGTGTACGTGTGTGCGTGTGTGTGTGTGTACGTGTGTGTGTGTGTGTACGTGTGTGTGTGTACGTACGTGTGTGTGTGTGTACGTGTGTGTACGTGTGTGTGTGTGTGTACGTGTGTGTGTGTGTGTACGTGTGTGTGTGTACGTGCGTGTGTGTGTGTACGTGTGTGTGTGTACGTACGTGTGTGTGTGTACGTGCGTGTGTGTGTGTACGTGCGTGCGTGTGTGTACGTCTGTGTGTGTGTGTGCGTGTGTGTGTGTACGTACGTGTGTGTGTGTGTACGTGTGTGTGTGTGTGTGTACGTGCGTGTGTGTGTGTACGTGCGTGTGTGTGTGTACGTGCGTGCGTGTGTGTACGTGCGTGCGTGTGTGTACGTCTGTGTGTGTGTGTACGTGCGTGTGTGTGTGTACGTACGTGTGTGTGTGTGTACGTGTGTGTGTGTGTGTGTACGTACGTGTGTGTGTGTGTACGTGTGTGTGTGTGTACGTCTGTGTGTGTGTACGTACGTGTGTGTGTGTACGTACGTGTGTGTGTGTGTACGTACGTGTGTGTGTGTATGTACGTGCGTGTGTGTGTGTACGTACGTCTGTGTGTGTGTACGTGCGTGTGTGTGTGTATGTACGTGTGTGTGTGTGTGTACGTGCGTGTGTGTGTGTACGTACGTGTGTGTGTGTATGTACGTGTGTGTGTGTACGTACGTGTGTGTGTGTGTACGTACGTGTGTGAGTGTACGTGCGTGTGTGTGTGTACGTGTGTGTGTGTACGTACGTGCGTGTGTGTGTGTGTACGTGCGTGTGTGTGTGTACGTACGTGTGTGTGTGTGTACGTACGTGTGTGTGTGTACGTGTGTGTGTGTGTGTACGTGCGTGTGTGTACGTGCGCGTGTGTGTGTACGTACGTGTGTGTGTGTACGTGCGTGTGTGTGTGTACGTGCGTGTGTGTGTGTACGTACGTCTGTGTGTGTGTGTGCGTCTGTGTGTGTGTGTGTACGTACGTGTGTGTGTGTACGTGCGTGTGTGTGTGTACGTCTGTGTGTGTGTGTACGTGCGTCTGTGTGTGTGTGTGTACGTACGTGTGTGTGTGTACGTACGTGTGTGTGTGTACGTCTGTGTGTGTGTGTACGTGCGTGTGTGTGTACGTACGTGTGTGTGTGTGTACGTGCGTGTGTGTGTGTGTGTACGTGTGTGTGTGTACGTCTGTGTGTGTGTGTACGTGTGTGTGTGTGTACGTTTGCGTGTGTGTGTGTGTACGTACGTGTGTGTGTGTACGTGCGTGTGTGTGTGTACGTGTGTGTGTGAGTGTACGTGCGTGTGTGTGTGTACGTGTGTGTGTGTGTACGTACGTGTGTGTGTGTACGTCTGTGTGTGTGTGTACGTGCGTGTGTGTGTGTACGTGTGTGTGTACGTACGTGCGTGTGTGTACGTGCGTGTGTGTGTGTACGTACGTCTGTGTGTGTACGTCTGTGTGTGTGTGTACGTACGTGTGTGTGTACGTACGTGTGTGTGTGTGTACGTGTGTGTGTGTGTACGTGTGTGTGTGTGTGTGTACGTGTGTGTGTGTACGTGCGTGTGTGTGTGTGTGTACGTCTGTGTGTGTGTGTGTACGTGTGTGTGTGTGTGTACGTGCGTGTGTGTGTGTACGTGTGTGTGTGTGTGTACGTGTGTGTGTGTGTACGTGTGTGTGTGTGTACGTGCGTGTGTGTGTGTGTACGTGCGTGCGTGTGTGTACGTGTGTGTGTGTGTGTACGTACGTGTGTGTGTACGTGTGTGTGTGTGTGTACGTGTGTGTGTGTGTGTGTACGTCTGTGTGTGTGTGTGTGTACGTACGTGTGTGTGTGTGTACGTCTGTGTGTGTGTGTACGTGTGTGTGTGTACGTGTGTGTGTGTGTACGTGCGTGTGTGTGTGTACGTGCGTGTGTGTGTGTACGTGCGTGCGTGTGTGTACGTGTGTGTGTGTACGTGTGTGTGTGTACGTCTGTGTGTGTGTGTACGTCTGTGTGTGTGTGTGTACGTGCGTGCGTGTGTGTGTACGTCTGTGTGTGTGTGTACGTGTGTGTGTGTGTGTACGTGTGTGTGTGTGTGTGTACGTGTGTGTGTGTACGTGCGTGTGTGTGTGTATGTACGTGTGTGTGTGTACGTACGTGTGTGTGTGTGTACGTGCGTGTGTGTGTGTACGTACGTGTGTGTGTGTGTGCGTGTGTGTGTGTGTACGTCTGTGTGTGTGTGTACGTGCGTGTGTGTACGTCTGTGTGTGTGTGTACGTGTGTGTGTGTGTGTACGTACGTGTGTGTGTGTACGTCTGTGTGTGTGTGTACGTGTGTGTGTGTGTACGTACGTGTGTGTGTGTGTACGTGTGTGTGTGTACGTACGTGTGTGTGTGTGTACGTGCGTGTGTGTGTGTACGTGCGTGTGTGTGTGTACGTGTGTGTGTGTGTGTGTACGTGTGTGTGTGTACGTACGTGTGTGTGTGTGTACGTGCGTGTGTGTGTGTGTACGTGAGTGTCTCGGTCAGTCGACCCGCGGCACCTGCTGGGTCTGCCCCCCCACGAGCCCCCCCCCCCCCCCCCCTTGCCGGCGGGGGCGTTCGGCAACTTCACGTGGCGGCCTCAGGGTTGCGCGTGGCCTGGCCGCGAACGGCGGTTGTTGTTGTTGTTGTTGTGGTTGTTGTTGTTGTTGTGGTTGTTGTTGTTGTTGTTGTGTGTACGCGCGCGTGTTTCCCGCACCTCAACGCCACGCTCCCACGCTCCCACGCCACACCCCCCCCTTCGTTATTTTGCTCCGTGAGAAGAGCCACACTCCCCCTGCTGTTTGGCAGTCTCCTGCCCCGAGCAGAGGACTGTCCGCCCCTGGTGGCGGCAGGAGCCGGAGCCGGAGCCGGTCCACCGGACCTCGCGAATGGCACGGAGATCCAGGCGGTACCGGTCCAGCTCCCGACGGAGGGAGCGGCAGCCTCTCCTCCGAACACACACCGGAGCCGGTCAACCGGACCCTTCCTGCAAACCCGCAAAGAAATATCCAGGCGGTACCGGTCCAGCTCCCGACGGAGGGAGCGGCAGCCTCTCCTCCGCAGGGAGCGTTCGAACATTCCAACGTGGCCACCCGCTGGTGGCTTTTCGTTGTTTCTGGAGGAGCCCCGAGGGTACGGGATTCAGTCTCCTGGCTCCGCCAACTGGGGTTTGGCCAGGAGACGTCGTGGACGCCTGTCCCCCTGAGGCCTCCGGCACAAAAGCTTGTTAGTTAGATATGTGTAGGTTTTTGACTTTAACATAGCCATTCCTGTGACCAGTCACAAGCTAATCCCTCAGCTATTTGATATGTAAACACCTTTGTCAAGGTACCTCACTTCTCCCAACCAGCTGAAAAGTCGCTACGAATCTTAACATCGTTCACTGAAGCTCTGTCGTCCCGACAGGTCTGTACCTTTCACCTGAAGACGGCCGCTTGCGTTGTGGCCGAAACGTCGTGAGAATTTTATTGTGTTATTTTATTATTCTATTCTCATTCTACGTGACCTTACCGAAAGAACCAAAGAAGAAGATTTTAGACGTGGTTTTGTGGTAATTAAATTGAAGGTGGAGGGGTTACCGGCATAACGCACCCATCCAGAGCCCCCGCTTGGCCGCTGTGGTGGCTGCAAACGCCATGAGGGGATTGACCAATCGAATTTGGCCCTCCTCCCCACGGCACTGCTCACCACAGCGTTGCCATCCGGCACCAAGGAGGAGGTAGGGGGTTGTGTTTCCCGGGGTGTGGGAAGCTGTAAGCCCCAGGCTACTTTGGGCTCGCCTTCCCGTCAGCCGGAGGCGAGGAGTGGTGGTCGTGGTTACTTATGCCCCCGCCGAAGACGAACATCCGTGGAGGGATGCAGGCAAGGCCGATGAGTCAGATGCCTTCTGTGACCTCCTGTCACAGGTGCTGGCTAAAGTGGCCCCTCGGGATAGAGTCATCTTGTTGGGTGACTTCAATGCCCGAGTTGGTCACGGTGCTGGCACCTGGTCTGGAGTGATTGGAGGGCATGGGCCAGATCAGCTCAATAACAACGGTAGGAGGCTGCTAGATTTTTGTGCAGCCCACGGGCTTGTAATTACCAACACGCTGTTCCGGCATCGGCGCATCCACGCAACATCATGGATGTATGCCGGGTCCAAGCAAGAACATCTGCCGGACTACGTAGTGATGGACCAACGGATTCGAGCCCATGTCCTTGACACCAGGACCTACCATGGAGCTGATCTGCCCACTGACCATCGACTAGTCATCCGTAAGATGTGCCTGCCATTCTTCCGCTCCGGCGGTGGGTGTACACCCAGGACCCCATTCAAACCTAAGGTGGCCTGGCCTCAGCTAGCTGACGAAAGTTGCGAGCGAGAATTTCATCATCGCTCGCGGCTGGGGTTGGCATCGTCCGCCACCACTCCTCCTGATGCCGAGGGGGAAATGGGCGGCGAGGTTTCGGACCGTTGCTCAGGCGGCTGGGCTGAGCGATTTCCCCTCCCCCCAGGACCTCAGGGAAACGCTCTGCAGGTCCGCGAGCCTGTTCCTGGCCGGTCGGAGATTGGATCACCGTTCTTTCCCCCCCGATGACGGCAGATAGGCGCGGCAGCGCCGCAGGTTACTTTTGTGATGCAGTTAACCCCTAACCCTCACCCACAACCCTCACCCAACCCACAACGCTCACCCACAACGCTCACCCACAACCCTCACCCAACCCACAACGCTCACCCAACCCACAACGCTCACCCACAACGCTCACCCACAGCGCTCACCCACAACTCGCTCTCCTCCCCCCCCGCCGCCAAGAATCTGGAGTACGACATCTACCAGGAAGCCAATGAGGAGAGTCCCTACGAGCTGGGCGAGACCTCGACGAGGAAGACGAAGACGAAGGGAGGTGGCGGAGGAGGTGGTGGTGGCGGCGGTGACGGTGACACCAGCGGCTATGCCCCTGTGGGACCGCTGCGCAAGGAAGAGCAGTATGCGGCGCTCGCACCGGCGGGCAAGGGCGGTGGTGGTGGCGGTGGAGGCGGTGGAGGCGGTGGCAATGCGGGGCTGGCCAAACGCAAGGGGGTCAAGCAGCAGGGGCTCTAGCAAGGGGGTCGAGCAAAGGGAGGACCACCCAACCCCGTGTCCTGTCTGTCTGTCTGGCGTGGGTCTCTGTGTGGGTCTCTGTGTGGGTCTCTGTGTGGGGCTCTGTGTGGGGCTCTGTGGGTCTCTTTGTGGGTCTCTCTGTGGGTTTCTCTGTGAGGCTCTGTGGGTCTCTGTGGGTCTCTGTGGGTCTCTGTGGGTCTCTCTGTGAGGCTCTGTGGGTCTCTGTGGGTCTCTGTGGGTCTCTCTGTGGATCTCTGTGGGTGTCTGTGTGGGTCTCTGTGGGTCTCTGTGGGTCTCTGTGGGTCTCTCTGTGGGTCTCTGTGGGTCTCTCTGTGGGTCTCTGTGGGTTTCTCTGTGAGTCTCTCTGTGGGTCTCTGTGGGTCTCTGTGGGTCTCTGTGTGGGTCTCTGTGGGTCTCTGTGGGTTCACTGTGTGTTAATCTAGACCTCTGTGTTAATTTAGACCTCTGTGTTAAACTAGACCTCTGTGTTAATCTAGACCTCTGTGTTAATCTAGACCCCTCTGTGTTAATCTAGACCTCTGTGTTAATCTAGACCTCTGTGTTAATCTAGACCCATCTGTGTTAATCTAGATCTCTCTGTGTTAACCTAGACCCATCTGTGTTAATCTAGACCTCTGTGTTAATCTAGACCCCTCTGTGTTAATCTAGACCTCTGTGTTAATCTAGACCTCTGTGCTAATCTAGACCCATCTGTGTTAATCTAGACCTCTGTGTTAATCGAGACCCCGGTGTGTTAATCTAGACCTCTGTGTTAATCTAGACCCCTGTGTTAATCTAGACCTCTATGTTAATCTAGACCTCTGTGTTAATCTAGACCTCTGTGTTAATCTAGACATCTGTGTTAATCTAGACCTCTGTGTTAATCTAGACGTCTGTGTTAATCTAGACCCATCTGTGTTAATCTAGACCTCTGTGTTAATCTAGACCCATCTGTGTTAATCTAGACCTCTGTGTTAATCTAGACCCCTGTGTTAATCTACACCTCTGTGTTAATCTAGACCTCTGTGTTAATCTAGACCTCTGTGTTAATCTAGACCCATCTGTGTTAATCTAGACCTCTGTGTTAATCGAGACCCCGGTGTGTTAATCTAGACCTCTGTGTTAATCTAGACCTCTGTGTTAATCTAGACCCATCTGTGTTAATCTAGACCCTCTGTGTTAATCTAGACCTCTGTGTTAATCTAGACCTCTGTGTTAATCTAGACCCATCTGTGTTAATCTAGACCTCTGTGTTAATCGAGACCCCGGTGTGTTAATCTAGACCTCTGTGTTAATCTAGACCTCTGTGTTAATCTAGACCCATCTGTGTTAATCTAGACCCTCTGTGTTAATCTAGACCTCTGTGTTAATCTAGACCCATCTGTGTCAATCTAGACCTCTGTGTTAATCTAGACCCCAGTGTGTTAATCTAGACCTCTGTGTTAATCTAGACCTCTGTGTTAATCTAGACCTCTGTGTTAATCTAGACCTCTGTGTTAATCTAGACCTCTGTGTTAATCTAGACCTCTGTGTTAATCTAGACCTCTGTGTTAATCTAGACCTCTGTGTTAATCTAGACCCCTGTGTGTTAATCTAGACCTCTGTGTTAATCTAGACCTCTGTGTTAATCTAGACCTCTGTGTTAATCTAGACCCATCTGTGTTAATCTAGACCCCTCTGTGTTAATCTAGACCTCTGTGTTAATCTAGACCCCTCTGTGTTAATCTAGACCTCTGTGTTAATCTAGACCTGTGTGTTAATCTAGACCCCTGTGTTAATCTAGACCTCTGTGTTAATCTAGACCTCTGTGTTAATCTAGACCCATCTGTGTTAATCTAGACCCTCTGTGTTAATCTAGACCTCTGTGTTAATCTAGACCTCTGTGTTAATCTAGACCCATCTGTGTCAATCTAGACCTCTGTGTTAATCTAGACCCCAGTGTGTTAATCTAGACCTCTGTGTTAATCTAGACCCCTCTGTGTTAATCTAGACCCCTCTGTGTTAATCTAGACCTCTGTGTTAATCTAGACCCCTCTGTGTTAATCTAGACCTCTGTGTTAATCTAGACCTCTGTGTTAATCTAGACCTGTGTGTTAATCTAGACCCCTGTGTTAATCTAGACCTCTGTGTTAATCTAGACCTCTGTGTTAATCTAGACCTCTGTGTGTTAATCTAGACCTCTGTTTTAATCTAGACCTGTGTGTTAATCTAGACCCCTGTGTTAATCTAGACCTCTGTGTTAATCTAGACCCCTCTGTGTTAATCTAGACCTCTGTGTTAATCTAGACCTCTGTGTTAATCTAGACCCATCTGTGGTAATCTAGATCTCTCTGTGTTAACCTAGACCCATCTTTGTTAATCTAGACCTCTGTGTTAATCTAGACCCCTCTGTGTTAATCTAGACCTCTGTGTTAATCTAGACCTCTGTGCTAATCTAGACCTCTGTGTTAATCTAGACCTCTGTGTTAATTTAGACCTCTGTGTTAATCTAGACCTCTGTCTTAATCTAGACCTCTGTGTTAATCTAGACCTCTGTGTTAATCTAGACCTCTGTGTTAATCTAGACCTCTGTGTTAATCTAGACCCCTGTGTGTTAATCTAGACCTCTGTGTTAATCTAGACCTCTGTGTTAATCTAGACCTCTGCGTTAATCTAGACCCCTCTGTGTTAATCTAGACCCCTCTGTGTTAATCTAGACCTCTGTGTTAATCTAGACCCCTCTGTGTTAATCTAGACCTCTGTGTTAATCTAGACCTCTGTGTTAATCTAGACCTGTGTGTTAATCTAGACCCCTGTGTTAATCTAGACCTCTGTGTTAATCTAGACCTCTGTGTTAATCTAGACCTCTGTGTGTTAATCTAGACCTCTGTTTTAATCTAGACCTGTGTGTTAATCTAGACCCCTGTGTTAATCTAGACCTCTGTGTTAATCTAGACCCCTCTGTGTTAATCTAGACCTCTGTGTTAATCTAGACCTCTGTGTTAATCTAGACCCATCTGTGTTAATCTAGATCTCTCTGTGTTAACCTAGACCCATCTGTGTTAATCTAGACCTCTGTGTTAATCTAGACCCCTCTGTGTTAATCTAGACCTATGTGTCAATCTAGACCTCTGTGCTAATCTAGACCCATCTGTGTTAATCTAGACCTCTGTGTTAATCGAGACCTATGTGTTAATCTAGACCCCTCTGTTAATCTAGACCTCCGTATTAATCTAGACCCCTGTGTTAATCTAGACCTCTGTGTTAATCTAGACCTCTGTGTTAATCTAGACCTCTGTGTTAATCGAGACCTATGTGTTAATCTAGACCTCTGTGTTAATCTAGACCCATCTGTGTTAATCTAGACATCTGTGTTAATCTAGACCTCTGTGTTAATCTAGACCTCTGTGTTAATCTAGACCTCTGTGTTAATCTAGACCTCTGTGTTAATCTAGACCTCTGTGTTAATCTAGACCTCTGTGTTAATCGAGACCCCGGTGTGTTAATCTAGACCTCTGTGTTAATCTAGACCTCTGTGTTAATCTAGACCCCTCTGTGTTAATCTAGACCCATCTGTGTTAATCTAGACCTCTGTGTTAATCTAGACCCATCTGTGTTAATGTAGACCTCTGTGTTAATCGAGACCCATCTGTGTTAATCTAGACCTCTGTGTTAATCTAGACCCATCTGTGTTAATCAAGACCTCTGTGTTAATCTAGACCCCTGTGTTAATCTAGACCTCTGTGTTAATCTAGACCTCTGTGTTATTCTAGACCTCTGTGTTAATCTAGACCTCTGTGTTAATCTAGACCTCTGTGTTAATCTAGACCTCTGTGTTAATCTAGACCCATCTGTGTTAATCTAGATCTCTGTGTTAATCTAGACCCCTCTGTGTTAATCTAGACCTCTGTGTTAATCTAGACCCATCTGTGTTAATCTAGACCTCTGTGTTAATCTAGACCTCTGTGTTAATCTAGACCCATCTGTGTTAATCTAGACCTCTGTGTTACTCTAGACCCCTCTGTATTAATCGAGACCTCTGTGTTAATCTAGACCTCTGCGTTAATCCAGACCTCTGTGTTAATCTAGACCTCTGTGTGTTAATCTAGACCTCTGTGTTAATCTAGACCTCTGTGTTAATCTAAACCTCTGTGTTAATCTAGACCCCTGTGTGTTAATCGAGACCTCTGTGTTAATCTACACCTCTGTGTTAATCTAGACCTCTGTGTTAATCTAGCCCTCTCTGTGTTAATCTAGACCCCTGTGTTAATCTAGACCTGTGTGTTAATCGAGACACCGGTGTGTTAATCTAGACCTCTGTGTTAATCTAGATCTCTGTGTTAATCTAGACCTGTGTGTTAATCTAGACCTCTGTGTTAATCTAGACCTCTGTGTTAATCTAGACCTCTGTGTTAATCGAGACCCCGGTGTGTTAATCTAGACCTCTGTGTTAATCTAGACCTCTGTGATAATCTAGACCCCTCTGTGTTAATCTAGACCTCTGTGTTAATCTAGACCTCTGTGTTAATCTAGACCCATCTGTGTTAATCTAGACCTCTGTGTTAATCGAGACCCCGGTGTGTTAATCTAGACCTCTGTGTTAATCTAGACCTCTGTGTGTTAATCTAGACCTCTGTTTTAATCTAGACCTCTGTGTTAATCTAGACCTCTGTGTTATTCTAGACCTCTGTGTTAATCTAGACCTCTGTGTTAATCTAGACCTCTGTGTTAATCTAGACCTCTGTGTTAATCTAGACCCATCTGTGTTAATCTAGATCTCTCTGTGTTAATCTAGACCCCTCTGTGTTAATCTAGACCTCTGTGTTAATCTAGACCTCTGTGTTAATCTAGACCCATCTGTGTTAATCTAGACCTCTGTGTTAATCTAGACCTCTGTGTTAATCTAGACCCATCTGTGTTAATCTAGACCTGTGTTACTCTAGACCCCTCTGTGTTAATCGAGACCTCTGTGTTAATCTAGACCTCTGCGTTAATCCAGACCTCTGTGTTAATCTAGACCTCTGTGTGTTAATCTAGACCTCTGTGTTAATCTAGACCTCTGTCTTAATCTAGACCTCTGTGTTAATCTAGACCCCTGTGTGTTAATCGAGACCTCTGTGTTAATCGAGACCTCTGTGTTAATCTAGA